ATTATTGTAACATTTGTATTATTTTAATAAATAGCCAGTTTTAAGATACGTGGTACACGATAGTTAAAATGAACACAAAACAATATCACTGCAATTAAAGCTAAATGAACATGAACAGTTCGGATAGTAACTTTTCATCGATTAATATTATCAAGGTAAATGGGTAAAGTGAAAGACCTCAAACAAAATGTCGAACGAACCATACTTGCATGTTCATATTACGAAATGTCAAGCCAATCCAAAAAAAGGCTAACTATAACATTTACACAGTTTGGCCACAACTTAAAGCTGTCTGAGTTATTGCACAAGAAGTAAGTGTACTTATATTAAGTAAGATAGGTGTGCACAGTTGGGCGGTATCTTCGACGCGCCTAAAACAAATAGTTCGCATTCTAAGTTACACTCGACAACACCCTGTGACTCACGCAATTGTCATCGGTTTAGATCAGGGGCTTTCAATTTCAAAGAGGATTCCAATACCGTTTCACAGTTCGAGTAGTTAGCTTGATTTATAGCGAACGCTCGCAGACGAGGGGTTCGGTAGCCCCTTGAGGCATATAATTACCGTCGTATATCTAAAAGACCCCTAACTCTATGTTCATTAGATTGCCTCGCTCGCCCTTATCTAAAGTGTCAGCGCTTTAGTATTCCGTGTATGTGCTTAAATCAAATCCCCAGAGAAATAAAGTAATCTTATTACTAACTTAACTAGGAAAATAATAAAAAAAATTGCTTAATAGAAATTTCATTTCATAACTTTACTATCGCATACAATAGGCGAAAAAAGCAATAATTAGTCAACAAAAAAAAATATCTTGTCGTAATAGCTGTCGTTGTCGAAAGTTGTGTGAAAATGTTAAAAACAAAACATTAAAAAGTGGCTTTTATCTCATTCTGTGGTATTTTAACAATAGCACCTGTTAGTGTGATAACATTCAGTAGCAGGTCCGCGAGAGTTTACTTTCTATCGGTCGTCATTTGCAAGCTCGGCACGTGCCCGCTGCCACTCCGATATAACGGAGCCTCCATACAACTTTTTGAGTCATTCGAAATCGTATGTGCTAATCCAGTTGTAGACTTTAGTAAATGCTGAACTGAATCTTATAGAAAGAATTCCGGAGGCCTAGCTTTAATCCCTTTCCATTCTCACTCCTTACTTATAAGGAAATGTTGGGAAGAGAAAGCGGATCTGATGATGGTGGAGACGTAAAGATAGGGGAAATATCCACTTTATATATCCTCCTCCTCTTCCTCCGTCAATTAAGGGTAGGCAACGCATCTGCAATTTCAGGTATCTATAGGCAGCGGTCGTTTCGTCTTTTACATGAATTCAAGTGGCCGCGCGCTAGCTTACCACCTTATAATAAAAAAGCATCGTAAATGCGTGAATTAAGCAAACAGGAATCGTTAGCGGCGAACTAAACAAAACTGGATCAACAATGTGTAAAATACGTTGCTATCTTTCCTACCTTCCCATGAAATTCATTCACGAGCAACGCTCACCTAGTGACTGGAGCGGTCACGCACTGCATACTAAAATTGTTTTCCTTATACGATTTCTTCTTATTTTCAACGCTTGTCCACGACGTGACCGTCCGTCCAAACTCTCGGCACATTCATGCACACTCATGACATCACGGCTCCACGAAAATCTTGTCGCAAGTAACACAAGCTTGTTTACATATAATAAAAATTCGTGTGGCCTATTTCCGTTTTGCTTATTACATACACGAATTTTCATCATTTAACAATGAAACCACCGTGTTTAATTTTTTTATTCAAATTAGCTAAGTGACAAAGCTTTTATGGTTGCAGATTTTGTTCTAAATCTCCTTTTAAGTAGAACCTTTTATCTATTTTAATTCTATGAGCATAATATTAATTAAAATTACTACATATTAACTTTCATGACGAAATCGTAATACAATTACGTGGTTTACAATAGTTAATCAAGTGAAAAGTCGAATAGGCAATCATAAATTAACTTCGATTATTCCACTTTATAATTTTCATAATCGAGCACAAGTAGTCACGAATGTCTATGTGAAAAAAATAATCCTTTCAATATGTAAGACATAAATTACTTAGCTTTTAATATATTGATTTTATGTAATGAGTCTAATTTTATTTAGATTGCGTATATAGCTCATACACAAATACTTTATTCAAGTTAGAAACGGTTACTATCTGCCTTTAATAAGTAATTACTGCAAGAATAAATTGCATGAACGAAAAAGATGGACCTGGGAATTTTATTACGCTTTTAATCCCAATCACATTTTGCGTATTTCTTCATTTTCGATTTGCATTGCGGTGATTTTTAGGTTACAACGATCGTTACTAGCTACATCAAATCATAATCATCATTATCATTCAAAAAACATCTACTGCGGTACATAAGATATTAAAACGACTAACACAGGAATCGGTCTCTCGAACTTGAAGAACAACCAATCAAGGCCTTTAACTTTGAAAATGCAATCTGCGAAAAAAGATTCGATTTTCAAAATACGATCTATGTATAAAAAATACATAAATAATTTCGCAGTTAATAGGTATCGGAAATACACGTTACTTTTATTTGCTTGTGTGTGGTCCAGTTAACTTCAATGATCGAAATACTCTTGAATCATAAAATTTATTTCGGGACAAGTAAACTGTGGCAGAGTTCATCACACCATGCATCCCATCGTTTTTAATATGCATTCAGCGTACAGTCTAACTTGCACGTTTTAGATTTAAACGAGAGACTGGACATTAATCATGTAAAATTTATTGATAACTAGTAATGGTTTATGGTTCAATATCAATAGAAGCTGCAAATGAAAGCAAGATAGAGGACAATAAAAATTACGAAACAACAAAAGTATACCGGTACAAGCTGCGTGGATTTCCAATTCGCGACCGTTAGATCGTTTCGCTAGTCGAGCGTTAAAATTGGTAAAGAAGCTGTTGATTTCATTATAGTGTTACTGGCAGTCGGAGCATACAATAAAATTCTATTAAGTTTTATACAATTAGTCGTAACGGACGTTAAGTGAATTATAATCGCCGTCATCGCGTCGCCATCTGTTATGGGACGAAGACCCACCATGATTGTGCAACCCAGTAGTTACGCGCAATGGAAACCACTGCCGCGAATCAAACTCAATTTACACAATTACTTCTATCTATCTTAAATCTACAAAAAATTAAAAGACATTATAGGTGATTTACACACACTTACTTTTAATTACACAATTTGTATTTAAAAGCGATCAACAGCAATTTTAAACAAGCATTTTTTAGATTGATTTCGATTACTCATGGACTTTGTCTTACTTTTTAAAATAACATCATACATATCATCTGAGAACATGCAAAAAACAATTACGCTTAAATCAGAGTAAATCAAATACACTTATCGATTTATGCGGGTAGTAATCATTCGAAGTTTTAAAGCAAACATCAGTCCAGAATTGTCTACCTACTGTCAAAGCGTAAACATTCGTTTAAAAACAAAACTAGCCAAGTTTTACCGTATCTATTAACTGCAACAGCAGATCAGGTAATTAGTTACACCACTACATCGCACGGACGAACGGTTCAAATAACTTCTTGTGCACGGATTTGAAAACCAAAAGTGCTAATTTAATTGTTCTGAATTGTTTTGTAAGCTCGCTAAGGAATGTGACCTTTACTCACCTAAAGAATCATGTCACTCATTGAGCACTTACGTAAAACGCCACAAATAACTCGGTGCTGTAGTACAAAAATAGCAATTACCCGTACTACTAAATTATTTTTTGAAAATCAGAAGAATTTAACTTACCACATTTATCTAACCAGCCCTCAGCGCGACAAGGGTATGTTATGACGACTGGTTTTTCGTCGCACCTCATCTTCAAGGATCACAATTTAACTGTTTACACTTTAATAGCCGCACGTCAAGGTCAATAATTATAGACACCGTACATTTCACAAACACATCTATAAAACTAATCTTAGAACACCTCTGTTAGACTCATCGAACACCACACGACACTTTCACCAGCTGTAAATGAAAATAAGCACATCATTGTTTGTATACTATTTTTTGCATATTATGCTACTGTTAATTGTGATAACTAATATTAAATTAACTTTAAGTTATTTTTGTCTGTGATATATAACACTGAAGGTAGCAAAAAAAATATTTTATCAACATTATTGTTATCAATTAAATATAAGCTACACTAAGAAATAAAAAAAATACTTAATATATGTTAAAAAAGGAATCGAGATTTTTCATTTTAGCATTTAGATTAAATTATGGAATGTTACAATGTTGTTTTATTTTAGAGGACTTTATAATTAATATATAAAATTTTGTCTTTTATTTGCACATCTATAATATTAACTTACATACCTAATAAAAATTAAGCAACACATTAGGGAAGCATTATGCCATTATCATATCGTTGCCAAACTGCATTGTTTACGCACACGTGATTAACACTATAATAAAAACCTCGACACATCCATCTACTACAAGATCGTATAAAAAACTAAATAAATTGCGAACCGCGAACCGAAGTCTCTATTTTCTATCTCTTTCTCGTCGTCAATTCATTCAATTCGTCAGAATAAAGAAGCAACATCTTACCTCTCTATCTACTTTATCGACCCACATCCTTATCACTTATCACAATAAACGCGCGCATTTTATGGCAGAAATAAGAAAATTGTTTTCTAAAAGGAACAGAAAAAGTTATGATTCCTATTATTTTAATAATTTTGTCCAAATTTAATGTGTTCCCAGACTTCCAAGTCTCCTGCATCGCATATATTTTTTTACTAAATTATCCCTTTTTATTAAAACAACGTTCCGACGTCCATATTTTTAATAATATACCTAAATGAGTTTCATTGTTTAAAAAAAGGAACATAAATAGGTATATAACTTTTATTCGCTAGAAATCGATTTCAAATCGTTCTGTCGCGATGACATTTCTTGCATATTCTATGTTTAACGCCCTTAAGAAAAACTGAGGAAAACCTCATTGATTAGTCTGTGACAGTTAGTGGTGCAAGATGGCTCTAAAAGCGCTCGTCGGTCAAAGTAAGTGAAAAAATGTTATTTAAATAATATTACATTCGCAATTTACGCAAAAACTTAATTTTTTGCCACAGTACCTTGAATCCAATGTATCAAATTTTATATACAAGTTCGTATTTCATTCTTATTCAATTGTATTTCAAAGACAGATTGATGACTAATGTAATAAATACACAAGATAAAATGATTTATTCAATGTTTTCTTCTATTTAGTCGGATTTTTTTTAAGAATAACTTATCTCATTTTACTCTTACCCACCGTAACATGCAAAGATACTTCAGCATACGGGGATTTTGCATGTCGTAATATAAATTATATTGTAAACAAATTATTGTCAATTACAAGTGTAGTTAACATATTTTAAAGCTGCTGCTATATATATTCATGTAGCTAATATTTTCTGTACGCCTTTAAATTGACGATGTTGACATTGGACAAAATATTGATTTTCATGTTGAAGTAGGGTGGGGGCGTACGTCATAGCATATCTGTGGGATTGTTTGATTGCAAATTATGTTCTTTTGATATTCTATTTAACACGATCTGCAATTGCAACAGAAAATTCATTCAAAAATGTCATTTGTAACTTGGGAGTTTCAACTTCCCATAACCTAGATTATAATTATTGGCAGTAACTGTTTCTCTTTGTCTACTTGACCTATTTTTAATTTAAAACTGCAACAGTAGTGGTAATTATTTTCTATAGTGACATATACTAATCTATAAAATTATTGATTGATGACCACATCCTCAAATACTTTTACCAAATAGTAGTATTTTCATGTATAATTTCACAAATTAAATATCTTTTCTAGAAATAATAGGAAAATGTTTGTCAATTAATTGAAGAATAACAAAATATATTTCATGCAACTACTCCGCTACTGTGATCACTACTTTCCCATACTAATTCTTATTTTAAGTCACTTTTATTGGGCTTAAAGTATTGAGTAGTGCAATAAAAATAAATATTGTGTGCATAAAGTATGTAATATCTTTCAGTTGTTATTGTAACAGCCTTCATTACTGCAATTTTGTTTGAGCTGTTATGTAACAAAACTTAGAAAATTAACTTGCTAATAGACAACTATTTTACCAATACTGTATTATTAAATTGTTTTTAATATTCCAGAGATTATGAATGAGGTGATCCGCTACCGCGGTCCCAAAGGCAAGGAGTCACAAAGAATAGAATGGCGGATACTCATTGTAGACAAGCTCTCAATGCGCATGGTGTCTGCCTGCTGCAAAATGCATGACATCTCTGCTGAGGGCATCACTTGTAAGACAGATTCCCTTATAACAATGATTATTAAAAAAAAGGTTTTAGTAATACATTGTCCATTTTACAGTGGTTGAAGATATTGACAAAAAGCGAGAACCTCTTTGCACCATGGATGGCATTTACCTCATCACTCCAACTGAAAAGTCAGTGCTTTCTCTCATCAATGACTTTTCAGTTGGCAATCGCATTATGTACAAGGCCGCTCATGTCTTCTTTACTGAAGGTAATATTTTGATTATTTCAATAGGTTAACAGTCATGTTTTAGTTGCATTTATTACTTTTTTATTTAACTTTTACAGCTTGTCCTGATGTCCTCTTTGACAGATTATCACGTAGTCGTGTAGCTAAATTTATTCATACCTTAAAGGAAATCAACATTGCTTTTATACCTTATGAACAACAGGTTTGTCGAAATTTATTTTTTTCTAACCCTTGCTTTTTCGGGCTTATCTAGTGTGTTTGTCAAAGACTGAGACTTGTTATTATAACCAATAATATCTTTACACGCTGCCTTAAAAAGTATGCCCTGAGGAACTCTTCAATGAACTGTGCAAGTCGACTGCGGCTAGAAAGATTAAAACTTTGAAGGAGATTAACATTGCCTTCCTGCCTTATGAGAGCCAGGTGACTATATTACATAAACATCAAATGCTCTCATATAAATATATACTAACAATTGTAATACTCATTCTTGAATAGGTCATTTTAATTGTGTTTATTGCACTTGTAGGTGTTCTCCCTCGACTCGTCTGAGACATTCCACTGCATGTACAACCCGGCACAGGCGCAGACTCGCAACGCTAACATGGAACGCATCGCGGAGCAAATTGCCACTTTGTGCGCCACTCTTGGAGAGTATCCATCAGTGCGATATCGCAGGTACATATTGAGATTTTTAAAAAATGTATTTCAAGAATTAATTAGTTTCTGTAAAATGGTGTTTTACTTTTTTTTTTTTGGTTTATTGTCATAATAGTAAGTTTATAGTATGTTTATGTTGACAATATTGTTTTTCAGTGACTGGGAGCGCAATGTGGAACTTGCACAACTTATTCAACAGAAGCTTGACGCTTACAAGGTTATATTTTTGTTACGAAATGTTATGTTCTCATAAATACAATTGATAACTATTTTGCCACACACACAATTGTGTTGAGCTAAATCATGATAAGAACATGAATTGTTTTAACTAAAATTAATTTAACAATAAATTATTATCTGTATCAATTACAAAAAATGTTTTTTGACAATTAATTTCATCGTGTGTATGGTGGAATGTATAATTGCATTATTTTAGGCTGATGAACCGACTATGGGTGAAGGTCCTGAGAAGGCTCGCTCTCAGTTGCTAGTGCTGGACCGTGGCTTTGACTGCGTGTCCCCACTGCTCCATGAATTGACTCTTCAAGCCATGGCCTATGACCTGCTGCCTATTGAAAATGATGTTTACAGGTAATAAACATGATTTTCACATATTTATTAATGTACTGAATAACTGAATGTGTTTATAATTAATTGTAACATTTCCAGATATGAAGCATCCCAAGGTCAAGTGAAGGAGGTGCTGCTGGATGAGAACGACGAGCTTTGGGTGGAGCTGCGTCACCAGCACATTGCGGTGGTCTCCACCTCCGTCACCAAGAACCTCAAGAAGTTTACAGAGTCGAAGCGCATGGGTGGTGGTATGTGTTGCTAATAGTCTCTGAAAACAATGTCTGGTTTACCTTATGCCAATACAGTAGGACAGTAGCACTCAATATATGTCACCAATGACCCAAATATTCTATACCAGGTTAGCTCAACTATCCTATTGTACTGTCATAATTTAATCGGTGTAGTTGTAACGATATTAAGTAGTAATTTCGAAACAATGAAACAACTTTGATTTTCATACATGTGGTGATGATGAAATAGGGAAATTATTGATAGAAATGTTTGCAACTAAAATAGTATCAGAGCGGGCGCACACCTTTGACTAAACTGTCGTACACCTTTGACTAAACTGTCGCACAACTGTTGTGCGATTGTCAATTGTTTTGAAGCTAATTTAACCGTTTAGTTGCACAAGTGAATGTCAACTAGTGTGTTGTTATAAGCTTATAAGAATAAGCGATATGATGTATAAGGCGTGTGAACTCTTAGAGTGAATATAAATGTGCCCGCAGGCGACAAGCAGTCGATGCGCGACTTGTCGCAGATGATTAAGAAGATGCCTCAGTACCAGAAGGAGCTGTCCAAGTACGCGACGCACCTCCGCCTCGCTGAGGACTGCATGAAGGCCTATCAGGGATATGTTGATAAGCTGTGCAAGGTTGAACAGGTAAATACATTTTTAAGGACATTTTTTGTATCTTTATATGAAAAAAATTACATTAATGTTTTTTTAGGATCTTGCAATGGGAACTGATGCAGAAGGTGAGAAGATCAAAGATCACATGAGGAGCATTGTACCGGTTTTGCTTGATCAGGTAAATATCAACACAAGGTGAATATGCCAAATGATTT